TCCCCCACCCTCACTCATTTTCACTGGACTGGGGCAGGGGATTAAGGTGCAGAAGGGAGTGTGGGCTCTTGGCTGGGGCCAAGGGGTTTGGAATACAGGAGGGGGCTGCAGGCTGAGCCTGGGGCAAGAGGCTGGGGTGCAGGAGGAGGTGTGGGGCACAAGCTTTGGGAGGGAGTTTGGGTGCAGGAGTGGGCTCAGGACTGGGACATGGGAGTAGTGTGGGAGAGGGTGTGGTGTGTGGGCCCTGGGACGGAGTTTGGGTGCAGGAGGGGACGCTGACATGGAGTAGGTAGGGGGTTGGGTTGCAGGAACGGATGAGGGGAGAGGGCTCCAGCTGGGTGGCACTTAACTCAGGTGGCCCCTGCTCAGTGGGGCAGCAGGGCTAAGACAAGCCCCTTGCCTGCCCTGGCTCTGTGCAGCTCCTGGAAGCAGCTAGCATGTCCCTGAGCCCCTGGAGGGGGCAGATGATTCCATCTGCAGGCATAGGCATGGGAAGTAGGGGGTCCATGCTTTTCACCCAGCTTCCCCACACTTCCAACCCTGAGTCCTGGCCTCCGGGCAGCCTTCGCGGAGTCCTGCTGACCCCCAGGGGTCCTACTGGCCCTCAGGGTCCCTTCACCTGCTGGCCTCATGGGCTCTGCTATTCCTTGGGGTCCCATTGGCCCTGCCACAGGCTCCGCAGCCCACCAGCCCTGGGATCCCATTGTCAGCCCAGGGCTCTGCAGCTTCCCCCAGTGAAGGGGTATGCGGGTGGACCACTCTCCCAGACTAGACAGACCGAATGCTATTTGCAGCAAATTCCATTCAGTCCCGGTGAGTTGGCAATCCTCTCTCAACAGGTCTAAAGGGGGGGTTTGCAACTCACCACCCCCACCCCAAAAATAGTTCCAGAGCCATTGACAAGGCATGCAACATTGAGCCTTTAGTCTCAGCTTCACAGAACAAAAATTCAACAGTGTAATGGGGTTATTCAATGGCAGTTTGTGCACTGTAATGATTTTTCACATCCATGGGGGAGAGGCGCACAGTCAGCCCCGCTTAAATGCAGAATCCTTAAAGGGTCTGTGTGCCAATTTACTTCCACGTTCTTTCTTTTTGAAGTACCCCTCAGAAGCTCAGAAGTGTACACTGTTTGGATTTAGATAATTCCCCTCCCTCCCCCCTTAAACTTAAAAATGGTCTGTATATACTTTTTGATAAGACATAGAGGCTTCATCCCATGAGGCATATTGGGGAGGTCGACAAATGCCTTTGACGTCGACCATGGAGCGTCCAGACTACAGCGCTGTGCCACTAAACAGCTGATTGGTACAGTGCGGCAGTCATTTTAATTTAAATGAAGCGGCGATTATTTAAATCACCGCTTCATTTCCCTTTGCCTACAACCCTCATCTACATGGCTCCGTCAACGGAGCCATGTAGTCTAGACACACCCTTAGTGGTCTAAAATCTCATGGTTTTGCTTCAATGGCCTCTAGGAGAGACGGACTTGGGGACACTGCCAGCAAAACTGGGAAGGGAGGCAATCCTAGTTCATACTGTAATTACAAATAAATAAGTTGTCAGACTTTCAAAATACGGGGCCTGATTCTTCATTGCCTATAGACCTTGTCATTTATATACTGTATGTGTATAGTGGCTAAAAAAAAACTCTGCTGTCTCAAGTTAAGTTGCCCAAGTGTGTAATTAATTACACAAGGTGAAAAATCGTAGTGAATCGGATCTAGCACTTCCAAATGTGTGTTCGCTAATTTGTATGTATATACACTTGGACTACAATGTTTGCACTTTTACTTGTGTATAATGTAATAGGATTTGCATGTGTACAACTCACCTATTTCATCAAGTGCAATTTCAAACGGGATCTGAATTTGCAAATTCTAGCATTTTGATAACAGTGTGCACAAGTTGCACATTCAAGTGAATTTGCATGCATAAATTTGCACACACATAAATGGCACTCACTTTGTGCCTTTTCTGAGAACTTTGGCTCTCTCTGTCCAGGTGATAAAATACTTTCAGTGGAGATCTTGTCTGGTAAATGACACTGTATCTGAGCCTGAGCAAATACTATACAAACCTCAGTCTGTCGAACTAGAGAGACAGGATTGTTTTTTGGTGATCTGGCTGTTGTTTTGGTTTTTGTGCTAAAATACTTTATTGTTCAGCTTAGTCTTCTACGCATGGCAGAAGCATAATAATGTTTGAGATTTAATTAACTTCATGTGGCACTGCAGAAATAGGTAGCAAATCAATAATGAATGTCATTACAGTCACCTTGTGCTGCTATAATTCTCTGTGTTTGGTTGCTCTAATGAGGTCTCGTTTCTGTGAGAAGCACTTCAATAGAAAGCAGGAGATTATTTTTTTTTAATTGCTGATCTCATGTCTATCACTGGGGAGATGAAGTGACATCTCTGTGGAGATTCTATTATTGAGAGCCACTGGCTTGAGACCCAAGGGGGGTAGGGGTGATCTAACACATTTTGCTGGCACTGTTGTACTGTGTTTCCCAGGATGAGAAATTGCAAGTATGAAGCTGCAGTTGATGTAGCTGTGGAAATGGGCAGCTACTTTGTCTTGGTGTTTGGTATGTAACCATTACAGTTTTATTTGGTGTGATTCTCCTTGAGAGTAGTGGGAGAAAGTGAATCTTTAGCCAACACTTTAGCGTTTGCTTTGGTTACAAACATCTCCTCTGGGCTCTTTCTGCAGGCCAAGAAAGAAAATGTATCTGATGACTTACTGTAGGAGTTGTCACAATCTCTCCTAGGAAGGACTTATCTACTTTGACACTCTGACATCAAAGTGCGCTCCCAAACTTTTAGTGCGTACTTGCAGAGTGAGCAACAGGATGGTGTGCTGTACTTGTACACCCAGACTTGCCACACATGAAGTCACTGGTGAGAAAAAGTTAATTACATGGAAGTGTTTAAAACAGGAGTGCTGAGTATTTTACAGTACAGCAACCTGCGTTGTGGTAACCTAGAAAGCCAAGTGGGCGCTCCTTGCATGTTCATCAGACCAATAACATTTACTGGGGATAAATATAGGAAAAGGGCCTCAGTATCCCTTGTACTAGTTAATATGAATGCCTGGTGTGAGGCAGAGGCTACCAGGAGGATACACCATTTTGTGAAGCCCTTGGCAACTTGTATCTTCTACAGGCTTCATAATGAAAAAATAGGGAGGAGCAGAGGTGGAAAGTGGTTAAAACAAAATCCCAAAGCCACCACATCAGGTCTCATGCCAGGATTACAGACCTGTAACACGCACTTTCAGTAAAGTACGTAAGCTCATTCCCTTCCATTAATTTGAATTATCACTTCCAATCACCATTGTTTCTAGTGTAAATAGTTTCTAGTCTAAACAAATGCTCCTTAGTTACCACAGACTGACTCCGTGTCATGGAAAATGTCATGCTACATTGCATTGGCCAAGAAAACAATGCCCAGCAATGCTGTAGTGGAAATAATACAGTGTGATTGGCAAAACAAACATGCTGTATGTCAGAATAAATGAATGTGAAAGGAGATGTTGCTTAGGTTTTCCCAGCATGCTTTCCTTTCCCTTGTCAGCCCTCTTTAGACTTCAGAGCCTGTCAAATCTGCCAACTTCTGTAACTCACACCATGATAGGTACCAGACCTCAATCGCTGCCCTTCAGAGCACTGTTAATTCTTTAGGGAGAGCAACAACACCGTATCGAAGCCTGCCTGAATTACAGGAAAATTACACTGTATACATTTGAGCAGATGACACAATGCGTTTATTATGATTAGATGATTTACCTGATGTTGCTTGGGTCCTTAACTCAATTTTTGTTTCTCTCTTCATTTGAATCATTGATCTGGGGTGGAGCTGAAGATGAGGGGTTCAGTATGCATGCTGCTCTGGAGAGAGAGGACAATCCTGGCCCTCTCTTGCTACAACACTATGGGTCCATGTGAGAAGTGCACCTCCATGGCCACCCCAGAGTGGGGTGCCTCTCCCCTGGTTGGGGGACAGACAGACACATAGACAGAAAACTCTCTCAAATATATAGAAGATAGCTGTCCCTTTCTCTTTCTTGCCCCCTGCTGGCCCAATGGGGTTATAACTGTCCTGGTTCCTATCTCTGGCTCCTTGCTGCACCCTTGTGATCATTCTGCAGCATAACTTCTGCCCCCTCCCTTTCCATCTTATGAGAGATAATTGAATTTCAGGCTCATCCCATTGTCCCAGCACAACCTGACTTTGCTTTAAGTTATGATAAGAGGAAGCTGCCTACCAAATTGGGTGATCCTAGTTCTTACCATTTAGGAGAGCTTCTTGAACAAATGAACTCAGACAGACAGATAGACAGACAGACAGATGCACATTTCTAAAATATATAGTAAGAATATTAGTAGGAGTCTGACAAAATGTATAGGGCTGTAAGTCTGGATCTTCACTATTTTTTCCCTTTTAAAACCAGAATTTCTAGGACAAAACTCAAAAAATACTGTATCTGTTTGCACTGAGTTGTAAATGAAGACATTTTAAAAATACATAATCTACCTCACTGAATACATTCCTCTCCCTGCATCTTTAACAGCTGTTCTTAAAATAGCTTTCCCCACTACTCACGGCCTGTACATAAGTGACTGGAACTTACATTTTTGTCAGGTTTGAACACAAGGGAGCATATATTCTTCCCAGGATATATGAGCATAGCTCTCCATAATGAGTATGTTGTTGCACTGATCAAGAAAGCAGCAACAGAGTTAGAGAGCTACTGGAATAATGAGTTTTCTCCGTGCATGCTCTTCTCTTAAGTCTCAAGTAGCTAGTTAGATTTTGGAGTGGCTTATGTAGCTCACTGGAGTGGAGTCATCACATCGCCGTCCCATCAGTGGGATAATCCATTCACAACATACTGTAAATATAAGTGGGAATGTATATGTAAGCACAGAGTCGACAATACACCTCACAACATGGCCCTGACCTCCTGTGACAAACTCTTCTGTTATTGTGTTGCAGCTCCAGAAACTGAAAAGATCTCTGTCTTTCAAGACCAAAAGCTTACGGAGTAAAAGTGCAGACAACTTCTTCCAGAGGACTAATAGTGATATGAAATTACAAGTTGACCTGCTGCCTGAGGTGAGCACCAGTGTCTGCCAGCTCCCCAACTCAGAGAGCCAGACGTCCACACCTATCAAACTCCAACAGCAACCAGAAAGCAACCAGGTCCATGTTTTCCAGGAGCACATCTTCAAGAAACCCACTTTCTGTGATGTCTGCAACCACATGATTGTTGGTAAGAATGATTTTGTTTGTGAGTGAGAGAAAACATTCAGTATGGCCTTTCCAGACCATCTGTGACCATAGATCAAATCTTGACAATACTAGTGCAAAGGAACTTGGACTGATGATCCACACCAATTAGCCCATCAGCATGGCCATAGGCTCCTTGATCTCAGACTTTAAACTGCGTGTAGTTAATATAGGTTGCAGTTTGACCCAAATAACAAATGTCTCCCCAGGATGACAAAAGTAGATACCACAGCTCAGAAGCTATGGTGCCAAATTTTGCCCTGTTGGATTTTACTGAACATTGGTTCCTGCTGGCTGTACTGCTAGAAAATATGATCAAATGTCATTCATTATAATGAATCGAATAGAATGAAAGTCCGACCTACACCATCTCGCTGCATTCCAAAGTGTTGATTACCATTCTGATTTACGCTACAGGGATTATGTACAAATTCACCTGACTGTGGAGGTCTGCCACATCAGCTTTGTAACAGGGCCTGAGAAGAAGAGGTAGAGAGAGGGGAACAGGTGAGATGGCAGGTGAGGATGGAACCTCTGCATGTTATGGAGGAGGTTTCCATGCCAGCCATCAAAAGCCCCTCTCTCAGGCTCTTCCTTGAGAACGTTGTCTGGCACAACTCATCTCACCTGGAATGATTAACCTCCCACATAAAATGATGTAAAGCAGGAGCAAATCCATTAAAATCCAAGGTGTTCTACCACTGTAAAAGCAAGTAAGTGAGAGACGCACCAGCCCCATGTTATCCATCAGGAAAAATTAGAGCAGGGCAGTAAATACGTTCATGTAGAAAAAGCGACACCCATCCTCTGCTCAAGTATTAAATGGAAAGCTGCAGCCGCACATGTTTTTCAGCATGGGCGCAGGTTTCAAAATGCCAGAGTTGCAGCGAGGAAGTGCATTAGTTTTCTGAGTTGTTTATTGCGCCAGTGTAAACTGGTGCAAGTCCATGGAGTTCAGAAGAGCTGGTGAGGATGTAGCCCCTTGTCTGTTGTGAGGTACTCTGTCTCCCTGAACTGAAGATATGAGCGTGCTGAGTTTTTTCAGTTTGAGGTGAGGGCGGTGTCTTGTATTAGCTAATTTTTCCAGTGTTTCTAGGGCCCAAGTCCCTTCTGAAGAATTTTTAAAGGGATGGTGGTTAATCAAAGACTAGATTGCCCAGAACTTCAGCTTTATTTAGTGATAGTCCTATCATGATGCTCCCCAAAAATGCGCAGGGTTATGAGGCACGTCACCACCACCTGCCCTTAGCATAAAAGAGTCGTGTCTATGCTACCTGTGGGTCAGTTCTCTAAATCCAAGAGCCTCTGGTAGCATCACCTTCCTGGCCTCTACAGGTCTTGCAGTCTTTTTACAGATAGCTATTGGCATACTCCACCTCCCTAGTCCTCAGAGCATTTCCTGCAGAGGCCAGCCCTTTCTCTAACGAACACACACTGGATTACCTAGGCCTGCTGTTCTCAAACAACAGCCCACACCAGCTTGTAAGATTCATCTCAGGCCCTTCACATTGCTTAACACCTCCACACTGAAATGTACTTATGGTGAAAATAAGAATAAGTTTATTGTTGTAGAATAGCGATTCCAGTGATAGAGAGTAAGAATATTGGAAACAAATGGCTACATACCAAACAAGATCATAATATACTTTTGAGATACTGCAGTGAACTGATTAATTTTCTGTCCAAAGAAGTTTATCTCACCCAAAGTCTACTTGTTAGCATTTTCAACCAAGCCTGGCTGTGATCTGTCTTTCACATTTGTTGTCTATTTACTTCCCTGGTAAGGGATGCACAGGCATGTCCTTGTCCTCTTGTTCCCCAAGCATCCCAAAGCCAACTTTTGAAGTGCACCTCAAGATACATTTTTCTCCAGCGATTGTCTTTCTCTTCATGTTGGTTTCTTTCTGATCTCATAATCCTTCATTTGCATTCAGTTCAGACTACTAATAGGAGACCCACTTTGACCAATTTACATGTAAACAGATGGATAAATATCTCTAGACTGACAGAACCTATTTGTCACTTTTGCTGGTGACCAGTGCCTTGATACAGACCCTACAAGGTAGGCCTTTCCTGCCACTATTTAAACAAGCAAGGCCTGAAGCAGAGCCATACTACAAAACATCAGTCTGGCCTTAGCTGCATCCTGAGCTGGATTTCCCCGAGGTTTCCCCGGAAGGGCTTTCTAGCCAACACATTAGCGCTTTTGCTACAGAAAGAAACCTTTTATCCTTGCCGAGTTGAAACTAATGTGACCTACTTTCTCTGGCTGCCTGAATGAGACAGGTGACTAGCTCAGACCTCTGCCATGTGGATGTTGGTGTATCTTCCGCTCAAAGACACAAGGAAAAGGTGTTTCAAGGTTGTTGGTTTTTAACCACATGGTGCTCTACAGTCTAGACACGCAGTAAAACAATGTAAGGAACTGCTTCTCATGGCCAAAGTGCTGCTCTGTTACAGCACAGCCCTCCGTCTCTTCTTCCCACAGCCATGTCTGATTTTATAGCATTGTATTACAGACAGCATGTGGAATTTAATAAAGCTCAGTTGTGCCAGATAAGTAGTGTAACTATGGGCCATACAACTGCTGAAACAAAACAGGCAGTTTTTCAGGAAACATTGTATTGCCTGCTTCCACATGAAAAAGCTTGTGTCAACCCACATCTGCCCTGGTCAGTTGTGATTCTGAATTTTCAGTATAATAACAAAACACTTTCATTCCTTCCATTCTATCAACTGTGATATTTAAGGGTAATGAGCGTATGGCTTAAAATTCTTTATTAATTGGAGTGAAGGGAAAGGTTGAAACAAGTTCTGAAGTCTTATAATGACCACTGTAGGCCTACGTCTAGCCTACAAGCTTCTTTCGAAAGAGACCGTCTAGACTACAAGCAGATTTTTTGAAAAAGAGAGCCACTTTTTCAAAAGAGAGTCTAGACGCTCTCTTTCAAAAAAGCACAGTTTGCACTCAATAGCACCTTTTTTCGAAAGAGTGCTTTTGAAAAATGCGTTATTCCTCATAAAATGAGGTTTACCGCAATCAAAAAAACTGCTGTGTTCTTTCAATTTACTTTCGAAAGAACGCGGATGCAGTATAGATTATGGGGAAGTTTTTTCGAAAAAAGGGCCACTTTTTTTGAAAAAACCTATAGTCTAGACACACCCTAAGTGAGAATCCAGGAAAATCTCCACTCGGCTTCAGGTGGTTTGATTTTGTTTGTTTGTTTGTTTGTTTGTTTGTCATCCAGAAGGATTCTGGGTTCCCCTTACATGGAGCACTGATCTATGAACTGAATAGCACGCTTGGGTCTGGTGCTGAATGATGAGTTCTACACAGCACAATCTTCTCTCTGACCAGTGTGTCAAAATCTTACTGTAGCTTAAGAGCTAACAAGAAATTTACAACACAGACAGCAGGCTCTCTGTGCTGCTCTTTTCACTAAAGGCCAAATTAAAGCAATGGAACATGAAACATCATCATCCTACAGAAAATGTGCGCATCACAACCCTTTTTGTCATCCAGTACAATGACCCCAATTCTGCCTTTCAGTGTGGGCTCCCTTGTCTCTGTTTGTTCCATTTACAGAGGTAGAGTCAGGAGATAAAGGTCAAATGCATATAACTGGTTTTAATATACAGAACAGGAATGATACATTGCAAAGCTGCTCTAGTGCTTTTCATATAACGCATCCCAAAATGAATTACAACCCATACAAAAGCTACCCCAACGGTAAAATTCCTGTCGAAATGACCGAGACACGGAACAATAACACCTTCTAACCTTGAGTGTACAGATGGGAGGCCAAGTGTTGCTCTCAGTGTTTTGGGTGCAATTCCCCTGTGCCAGAGTTGCAACAGGAGGATTTGAAAGGCAGTTGCTGCCTGCCAGACCAAACAAGAAAAAGATTTCCACATTCCAGGGGGCACCACAGGATAAAAGCAGCTCCCATCTCATGGCAGTGTCTTGTAGTAATGGGTATTTTGGGTATGTCTACACCAGTGTTTCTCAAAGTGGGCCATGAAACCACATTGAGAAGCATGCTATCTGACTATGCCAGTTTGTTACTTACCAGCGCTGTGGCTATGGAGCCTCGCAGCTCCCGTTGGCTCTGGTTCACCATTTGCAGCCAAGGGGAGCCACAGGAAGCAGCGTGGGTTGGGCCACCACTTCCACTGTGCCCCTGGGCTGCAAACAGCGAACCAAAGCCAATAGAAGCCATGAGGCTCCGTGATTCTGGTGCCGATAAGTAAACAAAGTGGCACACCCAGTTAGCATGTTTCTCAAAGTGGTTTTGTAGCCCACTTTGAGAAACATGCTCTACACAGCTATAACACACCCTCAACTGGCCCATGTCAGGTGACTTGGGCTTGCTGATCTTAGGCTGCAGAGCTATACATTTGGGCTGTGTCTAGATTGCATCCCTTTTCCGTAAAAGGGATGCAAATTAGACACATCGCAACTGCAGATGAAGCGGGGATTTAACCCTCCTCCCGCTTCATTTGCATAAACATTGCTGCCGCTTTTTTCCGGCTCGGAGCTTTGCCAGAAAAAAGCGCCAGTCTAGATGGGGACCTTTCAGAAAATAAAGCCTTTTCCGAAGATCCCTTATTCCTCTTAAAATAAGGAATAAGGGATCTTTCGGAAAAGGCTTTATTTTCTGAAAGATCCCCGTCTAGACTGGCACTTTTTTCTGGCAAAGCTCCGAGTCGGAAAAAAGTGGCAGCCATTGTTATGCTAATGAAGCGGGGGCGGGGGGGTTAAATCCCCGCTTCATTTGCAATTGTGATGTGTCTAATTTGCATCCCTTTTACGGAAAAGGGATGCAGTCTAGACACAGCCCTGCAGTGTAGATGTTCGTGGTTGGCCGGAAGCCTGCACTCTGGGACTCTCCCCCTTCAGGGGCTGGAGCCAGTGCACAAATGTCTACAATTGCATAGCACTGTAGCCCGAGCTCAAGTCAGCCATCACAGGCCTAGCATAAG